AAGCACCATCCCAGTGTGGGCGGCAGCCTCACGTCACCCAAGGCAACTCAACATTGCCCCTTCCGGAAGGCCAGGTTCTAGGCAGGCCCTGCCACCACCCGCCACCTGCCCTTGGAGAAATCATTGTTCAGTAGCTAACGTAGCTCAGGGCAGCACGCCAGGCACTAGGCATACCCTGCCTAGTGTGCCTCTCCCATCTGGTACTTACGAAAACCCGAGCAGGTGGGGGTTTCTGTCGGCCCCATGTTGGGCAAGAGGAGATGGGGGCTAAGAGGGGCGGCACTTGCTGAAGGTACACGCCAGGCAGGGCTGGAACCAGGATTTGAGTCCCGTCTACGTCTGGCCCTTCTCTGTGGGCCTCAGTTTCCTTTTCTGTCAGGCAAAGGGGTGGACCTATGTGATCCCTAAGTTCCTTTCCAGGTGCAGAAAATAAAAAAGACATTTCTATAAACACACTCCACACATGTGCCTCTGGCCACACTCGGGTGGCACGCCCCAGCCCTGGAGACACGATGCCACGGCCCACACCCAGAATACGGAGGCAGCACCTGGTGGCAGCCAAGGCCATGTGCTCCCCACTTCACCCTGTCCCTGGGGCATTGTCCAGGGGCAGTGAGGGGCACCGCTGCCCGGCCCACCCAGTTGTTTGCATCCCCGCTATGATGCCCACCCGCTTCCCTCTCACTCCACACAGGGCCACACCCCACAACTCCATGCCACCCTTCTAGGACCTGGGCAACCTCCCTCTGCCTGAACCATCGCTCCCTTCTTCTCTGCCTCTGTCTGCCCTTCTCCGGCCTTACCAGGTGGACCCACCTGCATTCGCAGGGTCATGGCACCTGGGGATTGGAATTTCAGCTCCCCATCCCCACGCCCCCAGACAACCTCCCACCTCCACTGGACACTCAGCAGACAGAAGATGACTGACTGCGCCAAGCCAAGCTCAGTCCCCACACACAGTAGGCGCTTTGCCTACATCCATTCGCAGAGTCCTCTTAGTGGCACCACACACCCATCTTACAAACGCAGGCACCGCAGCTCAGAAAGACCACAGCGAGGCCCGTGATCACACTGCACTGAGTAGATGAGCCAGGATTCTAACCCAGGACTGTGCGACCCAAGGCCAGTGCTCTTCCCATGCACCAGGCGCCTCCTAAACACTCTGTTTCATGTCCAAGGGCAGTTTGAATTGCTAGAGACAGGACAAACCTCCCTTCTTCTCCATGAAATCCCTCTCCCCGTGCATAAGGGGAGGGTGGGCATCTAGATGCATCCAACAGCACCGCAGCCGTGGCTCAGGGCACAGCCAGACTGCTCCCCGCCTGGCCTTGGACTCAAGACTAGCCGACCCATCACTGGACCCAGGGCCAGTGGGGTGGGACTGGGCAGAGAGGAAGGGACAAGCCGCCCTGCCCAAGGGCTCCTGGAGGTTTGCTTTGCCAACAGAGTCCCAGTGGGGCTTCCAAGAACACCAGCAGGGAGGGGAGCAAGAGACAAAGAAGAACACATTCCAGGGGCCCCATAACAGGGCCCCAAATTCTCAGACAGGGATTGGCAAAGAGATAGCAGCAACTGAGTCCCAAAGATACAGCCCAGAAGGGGTCCATGTGCCCCTCCCCAGCCTTTCCAGCCTTTCCATGCAGAGATCGTGGAGGGAGCTGCTCGCAGCACAACTTGGTATGCAGGAGTGAGGAGGGGCTCCCCACCAATTTCATGCACTCCTACAGGGTGGCGGCCTTGTAATCCCAGAGCACTAGTGCAGGACCTTGGGTCACCCAGGCCAAGACTCCTCCCCCAGCCAGTGTGCCCAGGGACTGACCCCTCAGCCCACAGGCCAGCCAGCAGGGGCCTGTGATGGCCTGAGCACCAAGCTGGTCTGCTCACCTGCCACAGCCCATGTTCCTTGTGCCTTGGTGGGACACAGGGAGTGAAGCACAGCTCCAAGCTCATGGCGTCACTCTTCAGAAAAGAAACGTAAGGTCTGGAGCATGGAAGTGACCTGCCCAAGGACCCCCAGGTGGTTCCCAGCAAAGATACCACTTGAATCCACTTTGCAGCTCCCACTCCCACTGGCTTCTTCTGCACTTCCCACTACGAACCACTTGGTTTCTTGGTGGCAGCGCCACCAAGTCCTCCCCACGCAGCTATGTGCCAAAGTGTCCCCAGACAGAGGTAGCCACTACCTGACTCCAGGGTGCTGCTGCTCTGGGTGGCAAGGAATCAACAGGGGCAATGAGGAGGGACCGTCACAGTCCCCACAGCCCTGCCCCGTGGTGGGACCGCTCCTGGAACACAGAAGCCCAGAGTCGAGGGGGCTCCGTTATCTCTGGGCAGCAGGTAAGAGGGAGCTGACTCAGTCAGCTGCAGACCCAGTAATTTCCCCATTTGTCTTGTCAACATCCTGTCCCACAGAGTGTCAAGTCCATTACATAAAGATTTTCTGCTAGGAAGATACTTAAGTGTGAGCCCAGGAAGCAGCAGGGGCCGGGACCGAGGGGAGAACCTCTGAGCTTCCTTGTCCAGGAGCAAGTGCAAGTCATTTATTACTGGACGGAAACCCAACGGCACCTGTCCATGCGGCTCAGCTGGTCCGTAAGCTACAGGCTGGGTGGGACATGGGTACCTGGGGGCCGCCAGCGCACCCCCACCATAGCATCCACAGGCCAACGATGTCCTCAACCTGCTTCCGAGCCCCAGAGCACCACGGCTGCAAAAGGAACAGTTCCAGGTGGATTTTGTACGTATCAATAAAACTCATCAGGAAACGTGAGGATCAGAATGTCTGTGCTGCCTGCCCTGCCAGGTGGGCCACACTCACCATAGAGCAAGCACAGTCCCCACAGGCAGGGCCAGGAGGAACCTGCTGTGACCCCAGCACCTCTGCCATGACCCACTGTGGGTTACAATGGTGAGAGCCCAGGGCAGGGTGCCCAACACAACTGGCCACCTTTGAGATCTCCACCCACCACCCATCACTGCCAGCGCCAAGGCCATGCCCAGACAGCCACCCTCTGGCCAGTGCCTCCCTCCTCACGGGCATCCAGGCTTTCTCCAGCCAGCGACACTCATATCACCCCCATTTCAACCTCCTAGAGCAGGGCTCCCCAACCTATGGGAGTGGTATAATTATTTCATCATATATAACAATGCAATAATAATGGAAATAAAGTGCACAGTAGGCTGGGTGTGGCTCACACCTATAATCCTAGCACTCTGGGAGGCCAAGGCGGGCGGATCACTCAAGGTCAGGAGTTCAAAACCAGCCTGAGCAAGAGCGAGACCCCATCTCTACTAAGATAGAAAGAAATTAATTGACCAACTAAAAATATATAGAAAAAATTAGCCAGGCATAATGGTGCATGCCTGTAGTCCCAGCTACTCGGGAGGCTGAGGCAGCAGGATTGCTTGAGCCCAGGAGTTTGAGGTTGCTGTGAGCTAGGCTGACACCAAAGCACTCACTCTAGCCTGGGGCAACAAAGAGAGACTCTGCCTCAAAAAAAAAAAAAAAGTGCACAGTAAACGTAATATGCTTCAATCATTCCAAAACCATTCCCCCGAACCCCTCATCCATGGAAAAATTGTCTTCTATGAAAACAGTCCCTGGTGCCAAAAAGGTTGAGGACCACTGTCCTAGAGCACATTCTCAGTGGGAGGGGAGGGTGTCACCTCAAGGGAGCAAAAGTTGGTTCTTGGATAAGCAAAAAAAATAGATATTACAATGATTTATGGCCCTCCAAAACTCAGCCCTTGGTGACAAAGTTGTATTCCTTGATACTTAATTTCTCTAATTATGGAGGATTAATTTTTCTCCTTAGGGGAATAAAAATGAAAAAAAAAATCGTTGAGAAACCCTGCCCTGGAGAATTCTTCATTTGAAAGAGCTCGGGTTCTCGCTGGAAGCTCTTTCCCACGGTTCACAGTTCAGAGCAGCGGTTCTCAGTGGGCAGTGATTGCTCCCAAGGACACTGGGCACTTTCTAGGGACAGTTTCGGTTGTCACAACTTCCAAGAGTGCTCCAGGCATCCAGTGGGCAGAGGCCAGGGATGCTGCTACACATCCTACGATGGGCGGACAGTTCCCCGAATAAGAAAGAATTGCCCAAAACCCTGTTTAGAGCAATAGAAACTTCAGAAGATTCCAAAGACAGCAGCAAACATGCCTGTAAACCTGGGACTTATAAACGGGGCCCCCTATGCTCAGAGAAACCCGAGAACATCCCCACTCTGGCCCCAGTGAGCACCAGCGGCAGCTCCTGGAAGAGCCCACCCCGCCCGCACAGAGCAGCTCCAGGCCCGGAAGCCCTTCCCCTGTGCCCAAGCAGCCCCGGGTCCCCCAAATGCCAGAGGGAGCAGGTCAAGAGGTAAGACCCACAAAGCTCATCTGGCTCCTGCACGTGGACCCTGGAGAGCAAAGCTAGAACTCGACATGGCCTTTCTCACTCCCCGGGGCAGATGCCCCCAGCAGACGCCTTCCTCTTCCTCAGGGAGATCCAAGAAGCACAGCCCTCGGGGGAGGGGCAAAACCCAGAGCAGAACAGAGCATGGCAACGCTCACAGGACCAACGACCATAGCTAGCATTGACTGAACGCTCACGACCACTGGCCATCTAGACCTCACACCAATCCAATGAGGTAGGAACCGTTACTCTCCCCATTTCACAACTGAGGAAACTGAGGCACAAGGAGGTTAAGAGCTAGAAGAGCTCCAAAGCAGGAGATCCAGGGAACTTGGAAGAAGGAGCAAGGACAAGACAGGCAGGTGATGTCAGGTTTCAGATTCAAGACCTACTCCATGACAGCCGCCATGCCAGGCAATTTCCATAAACACTTGGCTCCATACAGCAGCTAGGGAGGTAGGTGTCATGGCCTTCTTTGCAGAGGAGGAAACGGCATGTTCAGGAACAAGCTGATGAGCAGGAGAGCCAACAGACACCCAGGACACCCGAGTCCCTCTACCACGTCACAGGAGACCTGGCCAGGTCCCCGCGCGAGCCCGCTTACCTGAGAAGATTGAAGCGAGCCTGAAGATGTCCGACAGGCGGGAGGTCACGGGCTCGTAGGGTGAGGCTTCGTAAAACTCCTCGCCTGCAAGAGAGAGCCGCCATCAGACCCAGGCTCCTCCCGTGCAGACCGAGCCCAGCACGCAGCAGATGTGCCTGGGAACGTGCTGCTGCTGGGGCCGGGCGGGGCTGCCGCGGAGGTCAGAGGTGGGCCAGCCCTTCCCAGAGTGAAAAGGGCGGTGCCAGGTGAGTCAGGAATGAAATGTTCAACCTTTCACATGGGGAGGCGTTTCTCCCCAGCCATGGGGGAAGCTCCCGCTGGTCAGAACTGCCTGACACCCCTCTCCCGTGACCTCCCTGTGTGACCAGCCCTCTCTGAAGGACTTCTAGGAGGCCAGCGCCATCATAGGAATTGGAGCTGGAGAGTCCTCCCCCGTCATTCAGTACAGCACCCCCATTTCACAAGAGAGGGCTCGGAGGCGGCCCAGAGAGGTGAAGCGACCTGCCTGAGATCACACAGCTACTCCCAGAAGAGCCAGAGCTAGATCTGGTCTCCTGGCCTCCCCCAGGCGTCCATTCCCATCACACCACGCCAGCTCTGCCCTGGTCACTAAGGACAATGGAGTTTCTTCTTTGCTTCCCATCACGTCACCAGCAGAATCTTGCTGGAGGGGCTAAAAGTCTCTGAGTGGGTGGCCTGACCCCCAGGTCCTGTCCGACTCCCTCCCTCAGGCCCCACCTGTCCTCCCCACACCTGCCAGCTCTTCGGACCTGTCTCTGAGGCTTTGGGGGGCGTCAGAGGCTCAGGAATGGAAACACAAATGAGTGACAGGAGGCAGATGGCCCAGGGCTACCCTGGAGACCCCAGCCCCTCACTGGGAATCCCACTGCCCTCGGCCAGCGCCTCCGCAGGAAGGGAAATGCCCTCTGCAGACGACACCAGTGAGAAGAAACCAATGGCCGATCGCTCGGCCTGCGTGTGTGTGGCAGGGGGGCAGTGAGACAGGTGGCCACAGCCTCACATCCAGCAGGGGCCCAGCGCCAAAGGCGGGCACCTAAGGGGGCACAGGTGCCAAAGTATCCAGGGGGTGCCTGTGGTAGGGTGCCACTCGTCCAGAAGTGAGACGGGCCCAGGTGTCCTCCTGGAAGGGGCTCCTTGCTGTGGTCATCTAGAGTGAGCACTGGAGACTGTTAGGCCCCTGCTGGTTCAGGGAACAAGGACTCTGTCTGCCGTGCCCTGCAGACCCCCAGGAAAGGGGACAGATGCCCAGAGCACAAGGAGGAAACACATTCCCCCATGAGAAACAGCCTCCCCCTTCACCTTACCTCCTGCGAGCACCTCCTAGGCCCTGCCACACCCAGCACACACAGTGGGTGCCCAGCCGGCATTTGCCAAGTGTCCTGATCCCAAACAATACTCATTCATTATTGCCTGTGTCCAGCCCACCTTTCCCTGGGGCCTTCAGGCCCCATCACCAGCCTGGATGATCTCAGAGTCCTCCAGCCCACCCAGTGGCACTTAACTGAAACTCTCTGGAGAAACTCCTTGGGCTGGGGTTACCAGCCATTGCTATTTTGGGGGGCTGAACAGTATAAGAACTTAAGAGTCACTTTTATAACAAAAATACTGTTATATAATGCACTTTCTATGTGCCACTGCACTACTGAAAGTGCTTTAGATATACTAACTCATTTCATCTCTTAACTGCTCCATGAAGTAAGCACTATTCTCCCCGTTTGACTGATGAGAAACAAGGAGAACAGAGACATTAAGTAACTTGCCCAAGGTCACACAGCTGGTGAGCGGCACAGCCAGGCTTTAAACCCAGGCAGTTGGCTCCAGAACCCAAGTGCTTCACCGCTACGAATACCGTCTCCAAAAATACCCAGTGTTATCGGAACCCAGTCATCCCTGAATAAGTGCTGTTGCTGTTTCACTTTTCTTAGGGCCTGTCTTCTCCTGACACTAGGACAGTCCCCCAGGGCAGGGCCTGGCCTCCCCCCCTCCCCCTGCTGTGTCTGTGCCCCTGGGCCCCTGGGCAGGGATTAGCCAGTAGGGTGCGTTCAGAGGGGCCCGTCCTGTGTAAGCCAGCTCTGGAGCCTGTCCCTGCAGCACAATTCAGCAGTGGGAAGTCCTGAGCCCTGGGTGGCTGAAGGCAGACCCAGGATGTCAGACTGTGGGACTGAAAGAAGACTGTGCTCTTCACGCTGGAAAGACCAAGGGACCCTGAATGTCCTCCCTTTGGAGAAGGCAAGAAACCTGGTCTCCAATGCCCCACGCAGCCGACGGTGACAGCCCACTGTGTAAACACTGGTGGTGGTAATGACAAGGGGGAAACAGGCCTGGGGCCACGGGACGTCCACCCCAAGGCAGTGAAAGGGACCTGGATAAGGAGCCGGGGACCTGGGGTCCAGCCTAGGCTCCACCACCAGCTTGCTGTGTGCCCTGGGAAGCCATCTCGCCTCTGTATGCCTCAGTTTCCCTGCCAAATGAGGTGTGGAACAGAATGACTCCCAGGTCCCCTGCAGGCCAGGCCTCAAGGGCTCAGCGGCCACACCCTAGAGGCCACACACCTCCCCAGTCCGCTTCCACCGCTGCTCTGCCCACGGGGAGCCAAGCTCTGCGTGCAGCACGCCCACCAGCAGGGCCAGAGAAGCTGAAAATCCAAACCTGCAGGCGTCTCTCCCTCAGCCCCAGCCCCAAGCCGGGTTGTTAGGTGTCCCTAAGGAGCAGGGAGGAAGTACTTGCAGCCTTCCCCAAGCCGTGAATATGTAACTCTCAGGCAGACCCGTCACTGGCAGGAACAGGAATGCTACCTGCTGTTCAAAGGCCTCCCTGCTTCCCCCGGTCAGCCGTGGGAAGAAACCACCTCTGGCCCTCAAGACCCAGGAGAAGTTAGCACCCCCTGGGGAGAGAAACGCAGGCTCCTGGGGAAGGCAGAAGCAGGGGTGTGCTGTTGCTGGTGGGGCCCAGGGGGAAGGCCCCCCAGCCTGTACACTGGCCAGCAGGGGGACCAAGGCTTCTTCAGTGCTGTCACCCTCTGAGGCACAGAGCAGGTGCTTACCAGGTGCAGCGCTCAGCACAGTAGGTGTCTGTTGAGTAAATGAATGAATGGACCCTCCCAAGCCTGGGAACCACAGACAGCCCCTGTGTTGAAGAAGGAGCCTGGACGACCACACAGCAGCATGCAGCTAAACACCCACGACGCCATGCTCGTTCCCAGCACGGTGCTCCCGTGCCCTGAGGCAGGATGCCAGAGAGAGATGAGGACATGCAAGGGCTGCCGTGCTGAGAGGCCCAGGTGCCCACCCGGCTCTTCCAGCTGCCAGTTCTCTGTCCCTTCCCCGTCCACCCTGCAGCTGGCCACTCCACACCCGCAGGGAGCCCACCCCACCCTGCTGCCCTGTCTCCGTGGGCTGGAACCGAACGAAGGCTGCTAGAAAGAAACAAAACTACCCAGCTCGGGAATCAGGCCCTTGAATTTTCTGTACGCCACAGAGTCGGGCTGTGGGTGAAGACGGTGCCTTGTCTCAAGCAGAATAAAGCGTTTGTGCTTCATGGCAGCGAAGGACTTCGTCCGAGCTTATTCTGGTGCTGGGAATCGAGGTTGCCAGGGAGAAGTGACCGCCTGATTCATGAGGAATTACTTTGCTATTAGTGGTGGTGGTAATTATATGAGCTCCTTGTTCCTATATGCAGAGCGACATTCGAGCCATCGCAGAGACTGGCCCAGGATCCCCCTCTGCTCGGGCCGACACCCTAGCTGGTCTCCTTCCCTGCCAGCACCCTGCAGGGGCCCACCCGCATCCCCACCCCCAGGGGCACCATTCCACAGAAGACCCTTCTTCACAGCATCTCCTTAGAGTGTAAACTACTCAACTCTCCCATCTCTAAATATATATATATATATATATTTATCATGGTTTGCTCTCTCCCATTCATGCTAAAATTGTGAAAGGAGTTGCTCACATTTACCATTCCTACGCCCCAGCTCCCATCTGCTTGCTCCCTAATCTTTCCTCCCTGCCCGCCCTTAAATGTTGGTGGTCCCAGGGTCTGTCACTGCCCTCCTCCCACTGTGGTCGTGCCCTTGGCACCAGTGACGGTCGATGGGCTGATGTACACTCCTCACTCTCTCTCCTGGCCACTTCCTCTCCTGAGCCCCGGACTGGCAGGATGTGGCAGGCGAGAGGCACATGCCCCTAGATAGGCCCACTCCCCTGCCTCCCCACCGAAGCCTGGGCTGCTGCTCCTGATACACCTGTCACCCACCTGGGTACCCAAGACAGGAAGCTGGGTGCCCTCCGTGACTCCTGTACCCCCACCCTCTCACCTTCACTCTATCAGCACAACCTGTGGATTCTACCTTCTAAATAGCTCTCATACCGTCTTCTCCTTTCCTGCCACTGCCCTGGCTCTGCCACCACTGTTCCTGGCCTGTGTCACAGCAGTGGCTTCTCAACAGTCCCCCCAATCGACTCTCTTCACTGGAATCACAGAAACACCTCGCTGAAGCCTAGATCTGATCATCTCCCTTTGAACCCTCAGACTCCCTCCCTGCCTGCTGCCTCTCTGCCCCATCCACCCCACCCTCTACCATGCCAAGCACCTGCCACTCTGCAAGCTGAGCTCCCTGCCCTGCCTGGGACTGCCTCTACTCCACCCTTCCTGCTCCCTCCCAAGAGGCCTGCCCTCCACGTGGCTTCTGGACCCCGTGGCTGGCCTAGGCACCTGCCACGGGGCTAGAGGCCATGTGTGGGCTGCGGGTCCCACATCCCTTGGCAAACCTGCCTCCAAGTCCCAAGGCAGAACCTGGAAGCCGCACCCTCCAACGACACCCACACCCAGACTGGGGTGTGGAGGGTTTGCACATACTCCAGGAGGGTTGACTGCCTCGGCCAGATGTTCATTTATTAGATCAACCAAAATCTATTGAGAGTGGACTGTGTGCTAGGCGTGGGGCAGTGCAGTCAGCGCAGCCTCTACCTTCACAGAGCTCATGATTGGGGGCGGTGTGCAGATGAGTGATGGGCTTCTGTCATCTACGGCGTGACTGCTGCCATGGGGACAGCACAGGGGTGACGTGGCACCAGCTTCGAGGGGCATCTAAGCCCTTGTTACCAAATCTACAGAGCCCTCCTGGAAGAGGCAGGCTGCAAGCGGAGACAGAAATGTGAGTCGCTTACACTGGTGAGGAGAGGCGGGAAGAGTGTGGGCAGTGGAAGGAACAGCACTGCCCCCCAGCCCTGTGGAAGGTGCCTAGGCCAGCCATGGGGTCCCCAAGCCACATCCGGGAGCAGGGGGGCAGGAGCAGGAAGGGCAGAGCAGGGGCAGCCCCAGGTGGTGCAGGGAGCTGGGATGCACACACAGGCCTGTCCCATCTTCCACCTGGCTCCGCTTCTCTGTCTCTCCGGTGACTCCTGCCTCACTCCTGGGCCTACTTCACACTGTCCCTGCTTGAGTCACATGGTCCGGCTCCTGTCCCACCCCTGCTCACCTCCCCTCCTCCAGCTGTCACCTCCACTGGTCTTTGTCTCTCCTGGCCTTCTCCTGGGTTCTAGGCTCTCCTGGCAGGTAGACATACGGAGCTCTCCCAGCTGAACCCCTGGCCCGCCACACACCCTCACCACCGCACATCCTGCCCAGGCTCACCTTCAGTCAGCCCCAGGTGGATGCTCCAGTAGATCTGCAAGCACTGCAGCTCCTTCTTCATGCCCCGCTTGCAGCGGCAGTCGTACAGCGGGCTCTCCTGCAGGACCTCCAGGGCCGCCTGGCACTCCTTGTTGGCCAGCATGGTGTTGCGGTCCCGGCCCGCCAGGCACTGCCGCAGCGTGCGGTAGCGCGAGCTGCAGTTGGATTCAGCCGCGCACAGCTCATTGGCCCGGACACAGTCCACTGGGGGGCGCCAGCCGTGGAGCTCGGGGCCCTGCAGGGAGGAAGGGCTGGCCAAAGAGCGGAGGGTCTCGTCTGGGTGGTGGGGAGGGAAGACAAGCGTGAAAGAGGGCCGCCACAGTCTCCCACCCAAGTCGCAGGCCTGGGGGCGTGGGCCCTTCAGGGAGCTTCACACCCACTTCACACCAAAGCACACCAAGACAGACTCCGTGCAACAGCCGTCCTCGCACCCACGGGAGAACACAGCCTGTCACTCGCCCCAGCTCTACCAGTGTCGTTTTCGGTTTCCTGTCCCTTGCTCCTCAGCATAGGCCCTGGGCCTAGGAGCACAGCACAAGGCCAGCAAGGCCACCGCCAAAAACCACACGCAGTCTGGGACGCCAGGAGTGCAGGGAAGAATGTCACAGCCTCAGCAGAGAGCTGGGGACTGCAGGGCTTGCTGGGGCGAGCAGAGGGGGGAATCGCACGTTAATACCACCCAAGCTGCCCACGAACCCCAGCTCCAGCCAAGGCGCTGGTGAAGCCTTGAAAGCTGTACAAAGTCACGTGACTTTCAAAGCCTGTTAGAACCTCACAGATACCAACCACAGAGTCCAGCCCCCACAGCTCACCCTAGGGAAACTGAGGCCCAAAGAAGGGAGATGACAACTCAGGTTACACACGGAGGTGGGAACGCCCCCTCCGAGCCCTGGTCTACTCATTCTGAGCTGCTGGACTTTAAGAGGAGACAGAGAAATGAGCCCAGGAGGAAGGAGCTGCCCCTTTCCGGCCTCAGCACCCCCACACCTTCCAGGCCAACTGCACGCCAGACCTGAAAACTTGTCCTCCAAGGGACAAGTTCTGCCCAGTCCCTTCCAGAAGAAAATGCTCTTGGCAAGCCTGGTGAGCCCTTCCACATCCCCCCTCTGCACTGTCCTGTCTGCGTCTCTCCTGTGTTTCTCTTGTTGATGCCTCCCAAGAGGTCTGGTCTCTCCGTCACCTTCAGCTTGGCTCTTTGAGTGGCCCTGTTTTCTCCCTCTCTTTCTCTCTCTCTCACTCTCACTCTCTCACCTCCTCTCTCTATTTTTCTGAAAGCCTCTCCCCCTCTGTCTTTTGTTTTTCTTCCTTCCAAAACCCAAATAATAAATCAATTGCAAAAGAGAAAGCAAAGCCCGCCCCTCCTTGGACCCAGGATGGAGCTGGCTTCTCCACCAAGGGCAACAGCCCCCAGCCCACCTCCTGCCCACTGCCCTGGGCGCTGAAGGAGGGAGAGGTGGGGGAGCACCTGGGGGTGTGGGGCGGGGAGAGGTTCGCCTGATCCTTTCAGAGCCCAGCTCCCAAAATGGTTTCCTCCAGACACAGACGACAGGTCCCCAGCCTCCCTCCCTGTCCTCTCCTGAGCCCCTAACTCCAGATCCTGCCCCAGGGAGAGCCCACACCATGGCCTGGAGCCACGACTGCCATTTCTAAGCCCCAAAGAGTGGTTTGGGAGGCGTCCTCCACTCCATTTCGCCCCAAAACGTAAGAAATCGCAAGCCAGAAGTGCCCTCCTCTGAATACCGCAGCATCCCCCCACCCCTAGCCAGAGCGGCCTCCCGCCCTCCCCCAGGACGCCCAGCTCAGGGGGGCGCTAGCGCAGGGAGACAGCGACATCTAGAGGCGGAGCGCCGCGCAGCGGGCAGTCCCTCCCGCCAGCCCCAGGGAAAGGAATCCACTCCTGGTGGCACCTGGCAGGGGGCCCTCCCCCAGGAGACCGGGAAGAAGAGCAGGGCAGGCCTGGGGTGGAGCAGGCCTCGTGGGCCAGAGCAAAAGACATGTCCTTCTCCCACTGACCACACCTGTGCCCCAGAACAGGAAGGCTGCAGGATGTGGCCAGACTAAGACCAAAGAAGAAATCAGCACGGAGGGGGAGCCCGGGCACCGGCTGGAGAGGTGTCCTCCACACGAGCTGAGGCAGCATCTTCCTTTCTCGGCTTCAGCATATTCCTACCTCCCTGAGCAGGACCCAGTACATCTGGGCCCCCAAAGAGCAGCTGAGCCGACGTGGCCCGCCTGCACCTGCTGCCCCCAGCCGGCCTGCCTGCTGGAGCTTCCACTGACATCCCCCGCCACTGTGACTGAGCAGGGCTGCACTGTCAGAGGGGGACTGGGAATGGGACCTCCTAGCACCCTCCGCCTTCCGTAGGCTCAGGATTCACAGCGTGCATAAAGGTCAGGATTTTAGTTGGTGGGGTGGGGAGGAGAGGGGGGTCAGGCAGTAAGGACACTCACTCTGCCTGCCCTACAGGTGGGGCCTAGAGCCCCAAGGGATGGATGATCCTTACACAAGCTCCCCTGCCAGAAGTGAGGGCTTCCCCCATCCTGCCAACTGGCACACGTGACCAAGGCAGGGACACAACACACTCTGCAAAAGGCCAGGGCATCCTTTCCCCAAAGTGCCCTTGACTCTTCTAGCCCACCTCGTGACCCCAGAACCAAGCAAGCCCTGCCAGAGGAAGGGACTCATGGTGACCTGGAGCCTTTAGCCAGGGATCCTGAGAGTAAAGGGCCCAAGGTGTCCTGGTGATGTCTCCCAATCCTGAATCAGGAGAAAACGTGGACCCATCAAGAACAGACACAGGCAGCAGCTTCCAGAGACACCAGGGGTAGGGGGAACGAGAGACGACACAGAGCTACAGCTGCCCTCCTGCATCCAGGATCCCCACCAGAGCCAGAAAGCCAGTTGGGAGTGGACCCCCGACCAGGCCCCCATCCCCTCCCAGTCACAGACCCCAGCTCCTTCTATCCCTGGGTCAGCCTACACTCGAGGTCAGGATGGCTGGGCAATAAAGGCCTCTCTCTGCACCAACAGTCCTCACCCCCAGACCTCACTGAGAACCTTGAGAGGGGCCCACTAAGGCCTTGCTCCCAGCTGAATCGCCTCCCCACCAGCAGAATTTCCACCCAGTTCCTTGCCAGGAAAAGGACCCTGGGGCTGAAGTTTCCTCAACACCAACCCATCCCTTCCTTTGGACTGGCCTAACCCAGAGCTGCTCAGCCCAGCTCTGGAAAGGGACTTCTCAAGGGAAGGGGACCTGAAAGCTGTGACCCAAGGGGATGCTGAGCCCCATCCTCTCAACACTCAGCCTGCAGGGTCGAAGACAGGGGGGTGGAGGATCTCTGACCATCCCCCCACATGCACACGATGTCACACACATACACACCCACCATGAGCAGGACCCCCAGTGCCACTTCTGGGCAGAAGAGTGACTCCTCAGCCTCCTGGGCTGCGGAAAGCTGGCCTGCAGCACGGGGGTCTGGGCCTGGAGGGGTAAGGGGCCCGGCTGCTCTCCCCAGCCCTCAGAAGGCGCCCACACCTGGGAGCCCTGCCGGCCGGGGGTGTGCAGCGCGGCAGCGGGCAATCTGGCTGCTCTGCCTGAAATACAATTTTCTTCTCTTCTTGGCGCTGATCATTCTCAGCCCCAGAAAGCTGGGTTTTCAAACCAGCAGTGGGAGAAAAGGTCAGGTTTTATAATAGCCCCTTCAGATTGAGAGTCCACTTGCTGGGGTTGCCAGGAAGGGCTGTGGATCCCCGGGGTCCAGAGCACCTTCCAGCTGCCCGCTCAGCCCCTCCCACCCTGGAGAGAAGAAGCCGCCTGGGGCAGAGGGAGGCAGGGCGGGTGGAGGCCACACCCCAGGGCAGGGCATTGCCCCCTGGGGAACTCAGGCTTTGGGGGGAGAAGGGGAAAGGGAGGACCTGTGCCTGACCAGCTTAGACACCAGTGAGTCTGAATTTCCTACCCCAGGCTGGAAGGGGCTTCCTAGACCACACACATCTCTGTGACCAGCTCTTGCCTCGCACTCCGGGCCTTCCCAGAGCCCCTCCTACAGGAGGCCAGGGTGCACTCAGTACCTGGCCAGGCAGCCTGGCTCGCCACTGGCCACACAGCTAGCCAGGGTGGCTGGAACAGCACCCCCACTGAAGCAGATGCGTGTTCCTCCAACACGCAGACACACACCTTAGTTACCAGGTTCCCTGGATGCAGCACCTACTCCCTGGCAGCAGCCTCGCCTGGCACTCTGGGCTGCTAGCACGCAGCCAGCCAGACACCCTCTTCCCTCGCCTTCTCCTCTGAGACTGCCTTCTCTAGATCCCAGCTTCCCGGGCAGCTGGGATTTCTCATAGCGCACAAGAGGGCGAGGGGCTAGGAATTCAGTGCGGTAAAGAAACTGCGGGGTCCAGGTGCCCCAGGCAACCCCTCCTCCCTGCCCTGGAAGGAGGGGGCTTACAGAACCAGCAGTGGTCTTTGTTCAGATCCGTTTTCCTCCCCCACTTCCCACCCTCTTCACCAGAGGAAGCAAACTTTGGCCTCCCTCCCACCGCCTCCCACCAGCCAAGGGGTCCCCGGCCCCCAGAGGTAGGGAGGGAAAGGCCGGGAACCGCAGCTCACACCCCGCACGCCCACCCACCCATCTGGCTCGGCTGGGGGAGCGTCCGGGAGGGAGGCTGGGCACGGGGTGGGGAAAACTTGCAAAGTGTTCCAGGGAGCGGAGCCGGAGCCGCTAGGAAGGGGCTCTGGAGCGGGGCCGCAGCCAGGCAGGTGGGGGGTGGCTGCCCGCGCTCCCCCGCAGATGTCCAAGCAGGAGCCGCTGAAGAAACCCATGCGCTCCACCGCGAGCGACTCGGGGAGCCGACCGGGGAAGGTGCGAGTGGCAGGATTTCCCTGTCCCCGCCACTGAGCCTCTCCCCGCCCTCCTCTCTTCCAGATCAAGAGTTAGCTGTTTTTTCTTAAGTTGCCGCAATTTGAACCCATTATTTTGAGGGAAATGAGTGCTATCACGGTGTGCAAGTGAGCGAGGGTGTGTATGTGCGTGCGTGTGCGCGGGGACGGTCTGGCTGTGGCGAGTCCCCTTCCCGATCCCCCAGCGTAGCCAGCCCGCCGCGGCTCGGGTCCCTCCGCCGGCGTCCCCGCTGCCCGGCCCGCCCGCCTCGCCAGCGCCCGGCCCGGCTCGCCCCTCGGCGCGCTCTCCCCGCGAACCTCCCGCCGGCGCCCCGCTTGCGCCCCGCGTCCCCGGCTCCTAGCCAGCGCCCGAGCGCGCGGCCCGCGCCGCCCCCCCAGGCTCGCCGCCCGCAGGTACTCACCTAAAAAGAAGAAGAGGCAGAAGGCGTTTGCCAAGATCATGTTAAATAAATCCCACAGTTTTTTTTTGTCTTTCTCCCTTGGGTAAAAAAAATAAAATAAAAATAACAACAATAATAATAGCCAAGCAGTGATATTCAGCCCCAAATCCAATGCGGAGATCCCAGCTAGTCCACCCGGTGAAGATCCTGAGTGCTGCGACTCGCCTCTGGCTGGAGGGGTGGGGTGGAGGGAGGGCGGTGGGCTGCCTCTCGCCGCCCCCGGCCCACGTAGCTGTGTGTCTCTGCTTCTAAGCAGCCGGGTCCCGAGCTCAGCCCTCCCCTCCGCGCGTCCGGGAAGGCGCGAGTCCCCGCGGGTCCCACTCCCCTGCGCTTCCCAGGAGGGGCCTGGGGAGGTTGGGGACAGAGGAGACTCGCGAGTGAAGGGTTGGAAGGAAGCGGCGAGGGAGGGGTGAGAATAAATGCCAATAGGAAAGAAATCCACCGACGGGGGTTAGCGCCGAGGAACAATCCAGCCGGAGCTTCGAGGACGACAGACCCGAGTGGCTTCTTTTGCACCGAGACGAAGACAAGATTCAAAAAATCTTCTCCCGCTAACCCTTGCTCCGCTCACTTTTTCTAATGGAATTCCAGTGACCGTGTGTCTCTGCGTGCGTGTGTCTTTCTCCCTCGCTCCCTCCCGCTCCTCTCCCTGCTCGCTCTCTGCTCTCGCTCTCTCCAGCTCTCCCTCTCTCTCCCCTCCCTCCCCTTCTCCCTCTCTCCCTGCTCCTCCCTCCGCCCGCCCCTTCCCCCTTCGCGGCTCCCTCGCCGCGGCTCTCGCGCCCGCGCCCCTCTCCTCCGCCCCGGGCTCAGCGCTCGGGCTCCCGGGCGGCTGGCGGCGCGCGCGGCAGACCAGCGACACTCTGCAGCGGCGGCGGCGGCGGCGACTTGGCGGTGGCGGTGGCGCCGGGGAATGCGGGCCGAGGGGAGAGCTCCGCCGCGGGCTGCCTCGGCTCAGACGCCCGCCCTTCTCCGGCCGACCTGCTGCCTTGGCCGGAAACTGGCTCCCCAGGCTGGGACTCGGGCTCCGACCCACCCAAGCGCCCGCACTCTCCTCCTCCTCCCCGCGCTGCGACCCCCACCCCTCGCTGCCCCTGCCCCCGCCCCCTGGGCAGCCGGGTCTACTGCCTGGGGAGCTGAGCGGAAGCTGCGGGGCGCTGAGTGCGGGGAGCCGCAGCCCTCCTGGGTCATGGGGGCAGGATGCGAGAAAGACCCCGGCCTGGTGGCCCAGGTCTGGGAGGGGGCTGCACCCCTGGCGGCCTGGTGCTTCTCTCCGCCGGGGAGCCGAAGCAGACTGAGCATCCCCCTCGATGGTGCAAGGGAACAGAAGGACGCCCCTTCCTGCGCCAGTCCTCTGGAATCCCCGCGCCCCTGCCTGCCCCGGCCTAGCCCCGCGCGCACGTGTGCTCTCCCCGCCGAGCTCCAGAACTTCCCCTCACGCCCGCGGCGCGTTCGTCCCCGCCAGGAGAGCCTCGCAGCCCTTCAAGACTCCCCTTCCCCAGCGTATCTCCCTCCCCCGGCTGGGAAGAAAGCTGCTGCGCCGGGGCTCCCGGACCGCGTCCTCTGAGGCCGGCGAACCTGCCGGAACCGCGCGGGAGGGATCGGGCTGGGGAACACACCCCACCGGGCCGGAGCGCCCGAGACCAACCCGGGCCAGGCCTCCGCGCCAGGCTTGGCGGCGGGCTGGGCTCCGAGGAGCTCGTCCCGAGGCAGCTGGCAGCTCCGGGCTCCCGAGGCTCTGGGTGGGGTCCTCCTCCCCCAGCCGGGAAGGGGGCGATTGATCCATCTGCCGGTCGGCCGGGCTCACCGGCGTGTTTTAGTCACGGAATTTACAATAAACGCCCAGGAGGACCAAAAAGGAAGCATCTGGCTGGGAAAGGGCTGGAGGAGAGGTGAGGCTGCTGACATGTTCCGGCAAGAGGGGAAGAGGCGGCGGGCCTGCGGACACGCGAGGGCACACACCCACGCGCGCCGGGCACCCCAGCTTCACACTCCCTTCCGACATGTGCTCACCTGCGCTGGAGCTGCCCCGCATCCCCCGGCTGTCGCGCACACAATCCTTGCACGCAGCTCCGCGGGGCGCGCGCACACACCGTGTGCCGGGGTGGGGTACACGCAGTGCCTCGTAAACTTTCCGCGCTGCCCACAGCCCGATCTGGGCTGCACGTTAGATGTATTTGGTAGTGCCTTTTAAAATGCATTTTTAAATAACAAGATTCTGGAATATAGTAAATGCTAGAAATCGACTTGAATGCGAAGGGAGGGGTCACTTTCAAAGCCAGCAGCCTTAGCCATTTGGAAAGCTAGGGGGAGCAACTCCCATCTTGTGGGTTTAGGCGGGAAGTGGGCTTCCCCCGGCTTTGGAAGCGCAGAGTACGGGGTCTCTTCCCAACGCCCCTCTCCTGTGACCCATCCTTTGTCCGTCCGGCTCCATCCTCTCCCCCAGCCACTGGAGTGGCGCCTGCTAGAGCCTTGGCCCTCGGGGACCGCGCAGGGTCTGGGCCAGAAGGCCCGGGAGTGGAGCTGGGGGAAGCCCCGCCCGGCCTGCCCTGTCATTCCTCAGGCAGCTGCTGTTCTAGGAAATGACTTCGCATCTGACAAGGTCTCGTGGTTTCTTTCTAAAAACTGGGGAACTTAAGAAACCAGCTTCAGACCAGTGTAGATTAAAAGATGAAAACTGATAGGAATTATACTGCCAGGAAGTCTTGGCCTAAATGAACTCTCCCTCCCCTCCCCTACTTCCAGGGTCTCTGGTGGTCCAAATACAACTGACTGCCACCCATGTTGGCATCCCACGCAAGCCTGCCCTCTTCCAAGGACCCCACTCCAGACTCCAGAATTACTGCCCAGCACCTCCCTCCCTCCTGCCCCACGAAAAAATAATTTTTCACTTTCTTTTAACCCCATCTGAACATAAGGAGGAAAACCCTCTGAACCACATAGGGGAGTTTTGCCCTCGCCCAACCCTTCCAGGGAAGGGGACTGACAGAGCCCCAATGAACCTGCAGGGATAGCTCTCCCTGAGTCCCCATGGGGGCCGGAGATGAGTGGCTGAGACACAGGCTTCTGGGACTCAGGACCACCCAGCCATCACAAGGACAGTGGATAACACCAACCACCACCAACATTCACCTTATTGTGGCTGCAGAGCACTCTGGCCTTGGACCCCTCCCTTCCCATCTATACAAACCTCTCCCAGTACACCCCACTTTCTGCAGACCCTAACAATCAACCTGCGCTGCTCTTAGAAATGGCATCGCCCACATACCATACCATCAATTCCTGAGCATCTGCTACATGTGAGACACCCCCAACCCCCGCTTGCGCTGGATCTGCAGAGGAAACACGGATAAACATGCACTACTAGCCAAGCGCAGCTTAATCTCTCTGAACCTTAGTTACTCATCAATAAAATGGGGATTTTTTTAAGAAACCCAACCTTATGGAAATTAGATGAGATATGGTACACAAATCAGCTTAGTAAAATGCCTGGCTCATTGAAAGTTGTTCACCCCTTTCCTCTGGAATCAAGAAGAAAAATTGCCTATGGCAAGGCAATAAAACCTAAGTGGCCAATGAGAAGCAGAGATAAAAAGCGAGGAGGGTTCAAGAGAAACAGATTTCTTTCTAGAGGAAGGAGGAGGGTTCAAGAGAAACAGATTTCTTTCTAGAGGAAGGAAGATAGAAGCCGTTCCTGTAAGAGAGGGAGTCCTGGGGAAAGGTGACATCTCTGAGCAGTTGTGAAGGGAGCCCTTAGGCTCCCTGATACACTTCCACACACCCTCAGCTGGCCATGTCCTTCCTCCAGCCTCTTGGCCCATCCCAGCTGCTCCTGAGCCCACCCTCACAGCCCCTCCCCATCACAGAGCCTGGAGCCCTAGTGTGCAGGTGGAGGCAAAGGGGATACTTGGCCCATGAACTCCTACCCTCCCTCTCGTCTTTCCAGTCCTCCTTGCCTTGTGGAGTGGATTCTCTGGAGAGCAGACCAGTAGAGCAGTAGGAGAGAGAAGGACCAGTGGAGGAGAGGAGAGTTGCAACCTCACCCCAACACATGCACACGTGCACCCAGGCCTTAGCCACACAGCTCGATGACCAGAATCTTGTGTCCTTTGGTGAAGGGGAAGAAGATTGAGGTCTCCCTGGCCCCAGAGCTAAAAATCAACCGGGGGAAGAAGGGAGAAGGTGCCTGTCATCCAGCTAAGATGTGTCAGAAACCACAGAGCTGGCCAGGTGGAGATGCCCCCAGCCCTGGGACAACAGCCTGACCCGGGTCACCCACAATCAATCAACCAGCACAAACTTATCGAGCGCCTCCTCCGTCCCAAGCACGGTGCCGAGGGCCGTGGGGAACACAGCAGTACTGCCCCTGACGTGGAAGCACTTTCAGGTCGCTAGTCGTGCACCCCTGAGAAGGTAGTGAGCAGCCCAAAGGCACGTGAGCCCAGTGAGAGACAGGAAGGGCCACTGCCACTGGATTTGAGGAGCATTGTCAGGGAGCACTTGTCCAGGGAGGTGAGATTCAGGTGGGAGCTGGACGGATGGGTAGAACTTGGCTGTGCACAGAGGAGGACACTTTGGGCAGGGGAACAGCAAAGGCAAGGGCACCGTGTAAGAAAGGTACAAGGAATAGTCCAGGCCCAGCATGGTAGTTCACACCTGTAATCCCAGCACTCTGGGAGGCCGAGGCGGGTGGATCATTTGAGCTCAGGAGTGCCAGACCAGCCTGAGCAAGAGCGAGACCTCATCTCTACTAAAAAATAGAAAGAAAATTAGCTAGGCAACTAAAAAATATATAGAAAAAATTAGCCAGACATGGTGGTGGATGCCTGTAGTCCCAGCTACTCGGGAGGCTGAGGCAGAAGGATTGCTTGAGCCCAAGAGTTGGAGGTTGCTGTGAGCTAGGCTGACGCCACGGCACTCTAGCCAGGGCAACAGAGTGAGACTCTGTCTCAAAAAAAAAAAAAAAAAAGGAATAGTCCAACCAAGGCAGGAGCTGAGGGCACAGGTGGGAAGTACCTGATGGAAAAAGATCTAGAATGTC